TATTTTTTTTCCCATTGTTTTCAGATCCCAGTTTGCTTCCAGATGTTGTGCCTCACATTATTTGTGATTTTCCTCTAGAACAAAGCCGTTCAAGTCTTTCGCAGGATGTTGGGTGTCTCCTTTCAACACCACCTCTGCTTTTGCAGTCTGGTTCTCCAGGACAGCTGTTGTAAATAGGAAACAATCTCCGTGCTTATGATTTTTCTTCATGGTTTTTCTCATTGGCAAATATATGTTGCTGTGTGAACAGAAGTGATTCTGGTGGTAGTTTGTATTACCTGAATGCAAGCCTTTGGGGATTTGACTAGGTTGATTCCCCACCATAGAAAAATGTCTATGGTTTTCGGGCATCAAGGTGGGACATTTGCTGGTAATCAGCTGATCAGGTGGCATGGACCTTTCCTCTTTTCCTGCTGGTTTGTCAGGGGCTCTTCACTGTGGATCTAGATGCCTGTAAAAACAGCTTTAAAGAAGGAAGACACCCAAGCCATCTTCCTCCACTAGAGGCTTTTGCCACAAGAAAGAAACAGATGAAAACCAGGGCTGCTGCTACGACCTTGGGCCACTGCAAGAGTGGAGCTGCTGGCTGTCCATAAGAGATGGACATCCAAGAGATGTAAATGAGATAGGTAGGGTATACCCCAAGGGGAGAACAAGGACCAAGCAGAAGTTGGCGAGAACTGATTGACTAAAGCAGATGGTGCCATAAACATTATTTTTTTCAAATGGAACAAAATGCTCATCACATTAATGACAATTAAAAATGTCTTGAATAATTCCCTAATATTCATAGATTCATAGATTGTAAGGGGCTGGAAGGGACCTTGTAAGATCATCGGGTCCAGCCCCCTGCACTCGGCAGAAAAGACAACTGGGGGTCGGGTGACCCCAGTGAGGTGACCGTCCAGTCTCCTCTTGAAGATTTCCAGGGTAGGCGACTGCACCACCTCTGGAGGGAGTTTATTCCACAGTCTGGACACCCTGACTCTGGAGTTTTTCCTAATGTTGAGTCTGAAATGGTCTTCCAGGAGTTTGTGGCCATTACTCATGGTTTTCCCCAAGGGTGCCCTGGTGAACTGTTGTTCACCGAGCCCTTGATGTACTCCCCTGGTAGAGTGGTAAGCTGCTACCAGGTCCCTTCTCAGCCTTTTTTTCTTCAGGCTGAAGAGTCCCAGATCCCTCAGCCTTTCCTCGTATGGCTTGCCATGCAAGTCTCTGATCACACAGGTGGCTCTTCTTTGGACTCTCTCAAGCTTTACCACGTCTTTGTTAAAGTGCGCTGCCCAGAACTGGACGCCGTACCCCAGCTGCGGTCTCACCAATGCTGAGTAAAGCAGAAGAATCACCTCCTTGGTTTTGCTGGAGATGCATCAGTTGAAGCATGCCAGAGTACTGTTTGCTCAGCTGGCTACAGTATGGCACTGCCAACTCTTATTCATACTGTGGTCCATTATTACCCCCAGGTCCCTTTCAGTTACGGTGCTAGTTAAGTTGGCACCACCGAGCCTGTAGGAGGTATGTTCCTTTGCCTTGTCATAGCTATCATAGTTTCTTATCATAGCTATCACAGAGATGTTGTACCACTTCCAATGTGATGGGAGGTGGGGCCCATGAAACAATCTTCCCATCAAACTGTGGTCCACATGATGGAGAAATTGGAGAGCTTGGAGATGCCAGGGTATGCTACAGAGCTGCCACATATCTACCGGCTGCACCGAGTGCTCCTCAGGTCAGGCACTACCCCGCACGATGATGTGGTCATCTCAAGAATCTCTTAAGACCTGCCAACTAGGAAGACAATACGGGGGAAGCTTATTGCTTCTGAAATTTTCCATTCATAGAAAAAGCAGGCAAGTCAGTGCCACGCAGCTCTCATGCTGAAAGCAATGATAGAGACTTCAGAAATGTCTGGTGCTTCATCTCCAGACAATCAAGTCATGAACTAATGATGACCTCAGGCGTCTTGCCTGGAATAAAAGAACAAGACTGACAAGCAGCCCTCACCAGATATCTAAAACAATATATGACAAGTTTGAGACTAAAAAAGTCTATCTGGATAATTGGTGAGTGCAGGGGCGTTGTTCTAGTTTACTTTGTTGTGACAGGCAAAAACAGTCTGCCAGCAAAGAACAGCTGGATGCTGAAAGGAAACAGAAATAAGTCTGATGAACTGACGCTGGTGCAAATGGCATCAGCATTTCAACACCTCCTAATCAGACATGCGGGGGGGGAGGAATTAGTGGCTTTGCTTTGTGAGGGAGCATTGCAGACATTTGAATCAGTTGGAATTAAAGAGGGGTTGCATGTCAACTCTGAATGTGGGGTCAAAATAAACTCATTGAGCTCAAAGTGAAGCCTAGTTAAATCTGCTGAGAGGTTAAGGTCAATATTTTCTGGGTGTTTGTGTCTGGCACTGACTTGCTAGTGACCTTTGGCAAGTCACTTAACTTCACTGAGCCTCGGTTTCCGTAGCTGTCAGGTCCCTTCCAGCCCCGAACTTCTATGAATCTATGAAACTGTGGATCATTCCCTATTTTGTAACACAGAGATATTGTGGAGCATAACTACAGCGTTCCTGAAATGCCATTGTAATGCTAATCATTGTATCAGGAACTTAAGCTAAAAGGCTACCCTCCCTGGCCAAGAGCTATAACAGATTATCCTCCCTTGTCAATCAGGTAAAGAGGAAGACCCATAATACAAAATGACCATTGAGTTACAAACTGTGTACGAAGGCAAAATGACAGGAAAGCCTTCAATGTCAAAAGGGTGTTAAGAGCTGGGAGCAAAGAGCTGATTCATCTACAATACTTTTCCCCAACCACAATTTTGGCCAAAAGAAAAGAAAAGAAAAGAAAAGAAAAGAAAATCAGCTCTCTCAAAGACTTACAGCCAGGAATTGTCCAGCCTTGAATTTTACTGCAATGAACATTTCTCTTGGCTTGAAAACTATTGCTGCCTGTACAATGACTGGACTCAGTGATGCGACAAGTCCCTTCTAGTCCAGTGCACCTATGTGCTATCACTTCTGTGCTTTAACCCTCCTTCTCGTTGCTATGAGGACCTGCGCTCTCAACGGTGGCAACCAGAAACTAAGAATCATGACATAGGGTGGAGAACTAGGAAATCCAAGCGATGGGTCCTATTTTTGACTCTGCCATGGGTCATTGTGATGGCCCGGACAGGTCCTTTAGCCACCCCATGCCTCAGCTTGCCATTCTCCAGAACGGGAACAAGGCAATTTAGCCAACAATGGCTGCAAGAGCACTGAGCCGCTCCCCCGCAGGGAGGATGTTGGGGTTTGGATCAGATGGCGTCAGTCTTAGGCTCCTATTCGGGCAATGCTGAGTGCTGATGTCCACATCTATTAACTTTGTTTACTAAACTGTCTCATTATCTATCTTGTGTCAGGATTTCTTTAGGGTGTGGTAGAATTGGACAGATGGGATGAAAAACCTTCCTTCGGGCATGGCACACACAGGATTGGACAGATGGGCTCCGAGAAGTTACCTTCAGGCCTGGAACACATGGGCGGGGGTGGGGGATTGTTCCCTCCCCATTTTACAGATGAGTGTCAAAGCCACTAGAGGAGTTTGCGAGCCGAGTGGAAAGATGATATCCATCTATCACCTTTGCTGCTGAATTTGGAAAGAGGATATTTCTCTGGAGGACGTCGTACAGCTGCAGATACCTGTTTGCCCCCTACTGCCACCCTCGATCCACAGGCATTTGCTCTCAGAGAGTCTATACAGCAGTGAAGTCCTCCCTGCTTTTAACTGCGCTTAGGCAGCGAGGAACATTCATTTCCTTCAAATCAATCTCAAATCACCTTTAAACGGCAAAAGGGTCAGAGCAGCAAACTAGCAGGCATATTTAAAAATGCGCTGACCTCCTTTGCTAGTTTCTAAGCCTCTCTTTTTTTCCTTCAAAGCAAAACTCAAGGCAATAAAAGATCTCTTTTGCCAAACCTGTATTAACTAGCCAGTCCCTCGAGATTAACAACAAAAAAATCTCTGAGCAGACTTCTTGGAAAGGTGATTACTCAAACAAATTCTCGTTTGAAAGTTCATAAAACCAATCTTGAGAGAGGTCAGGGAGTGACCAACATGGTGAGCTGAGAGTCCGAAGGATTCTGGTAAGTAAATAAAATCCTCGACTTTATGAAGCTTCGTGTTTAAAGAGAATTATGTGAGTAATTACTTTTTCAGGGAAAGGCAATGATTTTCTCATTGCTGATGCTATAGAACAGCCCCAATGACATTGGTGCTACTCAGGACATAAGCAGCAGTGCCAGCACTATATCCTATAACAGTCTCTGACACCTTGTGCAGCAACAGGGACAGGCCCGGTGGCATCAACCCAGCTGTGCCATCCCTTATCCCATATCCTGGGCTCCTATGTGGTGTGGGTCTGCACGAGTTTGTATTTAAATGTGCTTTGTGCCACTTATGGCAGCACACATAATGTGAGGCTGGGCCTACATCTGCACCGGTTAAGAGACTCTGCTTTGAAGAACATACAACGGATGAAGGGTAGAAGGATACAATTAAAACTCAGCATTTTTATATAGGATGGGTAAAATCTTGGCCCCAAGGAAATCAATGGGAGTTTTGTATTCGTTTCAATGGGATCAGAATCACAGAAAGTTAGGGCTGGATGGGACCTCAGGAGGTCACAGTCCAACCCCCTGCTCCAAGCAGGGCCAGCCCCAGCTAGACCATCCCAGCCGAATAGATTTCAACTGATAGATATGTGTGTGCACGTATGTGCATGCATGTATAGGTATATGTATACACACACATACATATATATTAGTCCCACCGCACAGTCTACCCCACCTCACAGCTCTGAGCAGAACCCTTGCTTTGACTGTATCACAGGAGAAGAGGTAGAAGAGATGACCTTATTTTACTAGTGCGCCTAGCATCCTTGTCATTTTTTTTTTCAAACCAGTAAGTAAGTTTAAATCCAAGCATCAGGAATTTCTGCTACTCACTTACCCACTTTCAGCTCACCACCTGCAACCACTACACAGGCTGCACTAAGGACGTTGCTGGAGTTGATTGGGAATTCCAGGCGTCCCAAGACATAGAGACCTCTCAGAGGAGGAAGAGTTGTATCCACCAGGATGGCTCTGTCTGAGAAACAGGGTAGATATGGAGAACAGCGGTAATAGTCCAACACGCCAACACTAAGTTTTAAACATATGACACAAAGCTGGAAAACAAGGGGAAAATACCTTGAGATTATGGACACTTAAGTATGTGCTTAACTGCATTTAGACGGCAAACTTTGGGGACAGAAACGTCTTAAGTTTTTCTATAGCACCTACCACCATGCTGTCCTTATCCTTGGTTCTTTAGGGCTACTGCAATGCAAGTAGCAAGGAGTGATTAGTATAACATGCTTGAGTCCCACTGGGTGTATCTACATGTGCAATTAATAGGCCTGAATTTTCTCTGCAACAAATTGAGGATTATTAAAGTGCTCCCAGGTGCACGTCCATATGCGCGCCCACTTTGGGGAAAGATTGCATCTGAGAGGAGCAGGGATACTCAGCCCTGAGCCCCTCTGAAGCAGCCAAGGAAAGTCCAGGCTCCCCTGGGTGCCAGCCCCTAGCTGTCCCAGCCCTGGGGCAGCCTTGAACTGCACAGGGTTGGCTGGGATGGGAGGGAGAAGGGAAGCTGTCCCAGCTCAGCGAGCAGCTCCCTGCCAGTTGTGGGGAGACTGGATGGGCTCCAGGGGAAAGGGGGGAGCTATCCTGGCTTGGCAGGCAGCTGCCTGCCAGCCCCTCACAAATCAGGACTTTCCCGATCTCTATGGGGCATGGAGAACTGTCCTGGTTCTGGGCAACTGCCAATGTGGAGATTGGGACCATCCAGGTTGCATCCAGATGTCCAAGTGGCTAGAAGGCAATCTCCCACTAAGCCAGGACAGCTCTCTCTGCTCCCTGTGGCCCCTTGCTGCCTAGGCTAACTGGGAGTAATTTGCTCCTGGTCAGCGTCTACACATGCATTTCAGCACATTAGTTTAATGCGCCTATTTCTAGGACCTGTATCTACAGGTACTAGAAAATATGGCATTAGAGTAATCTATTGCACAGTAATTGCTGTGCATGTGTAGACAGTGATGCTTTACTGTGCATTATATTAGTCTAATGCACAGTAAAGTGTTTTGTGCAGGCACACCCACTGATTTTCACTTCAAGCTTAAAGTTATCATTATCATTCCACGTGGTCTCGAAGTCATCCCTACTTAGCAAAGCACTTAAGCGAGTGCTTCAGTTCTGTTGACTTCAATAAAATGTGCCCAGTGAGTTGCTGCCTATAAACCTAACTGTGCACACAGAACTCATTCATTCAGTTTAGTAAGAGAAATTTTGAAACAGAAGCTAAACATGATCCAAGTTACGTTTTTTTTTATTACACCCAATAAAATATGAGCCATTAAATTGAAGACATAGAACAGGTGTCCCACAGTATACACCCTCAGCAATCCCCTTATCTTGCTGCCACAAGTTACTAGAAATAACACTAGGAATTTCTGCATTGGCCCGTTTTGCTTGCCACAGCAGTCAATGGAAATGTTAACGCTGGCTTTACCCGGAGCTGTCAAGCTAATGGTACCGAGGTGTGGAGATCCAGTGATAGCCCACTAAATTAGGACTCAGGCTGAACTGCTCTCTACTTCTTTCTTCACAAACCCTACAACTGGTGAGAACCACCTCTAATTAGGTGTGCTCATGGCATTTTGGAAAATCCCAGACTAATACAATTGCTTCCAAAAGCGGGCAGTGCACAGCCAACAAACCACTTAGTGTTCATAATAGACCACAAGTGCAATGAAGTGGCAGAGGTGGCTTCACCTGGCCCACTGTACAGAAGAGAATTTTGTCCTAAAGTCTCCATCTAATTCTCTTTAAAGTCAAATGGCACCTTTGCACCTATAGCTGAAACCAACTTGGGCCCTTTCTTCACAGTTTCTAGCTACTTCTAGCTAGTCTCTGCAAGAATAATGGCTTCTAGGTGTGGCATACTGGCTCTCTCTCTATCACTGGATGCTTCTGAACAAATGAAAATCTAAATGCTTTCTTTCCAAGGGACCTGATGACAACACCCCTATGTCACTGATAGCTTCCTGCACATATTGTTGTCTCATAGTGCAAAAACATGGGTTGAAGATGCAGCTTGTTTTATGCATAAGCCGTTTACACCCAGAGAGGATTTTCAGCGTAAGGAAAGGTAATGTCAGCTGTCAGCCCCAATGCTGGGATTTGCTATGGTTTCCTTCCCCCTGAGCTCCGTTCCTGCCAGGGATAAATATTCAGAACTGGGATGTTTCAAAGAAACTTGCACATTTTTCAACTGACTTGAGTCCAGAATATGGACTGGAGGCTTCAAACACATTCAAATTGGAACAAGGAAACCACCCCACTACACGAGAGTCGGGTCCAGCTCCCCCATTGTGTTTCTGATCGTGACCTGCAGTGGTTGCTTCAGAAGGAACAAGAGAGCACCCCAGTAGGCAGGCACAGGGGTATTTAGCCCCAAGGGGGGAGTTTGTCTTCCTAATTACCAATAGCTAGAAGTTGGTTTAAACCCTTCATCCTAAAAGTGTATTTTCCATTCCATAAAAAATAATCATCATCATAGAATCATAGAAAATTAGGGCTGGAAGGGACTTCAGGAGGTCACATCTAGCCCAACCCTCTGCTCAAAGCAGGACTATCCCCAACTAGATCATCCCAGCCAAAGCTTCGTCTAGCCGCGTCTTAAAAACCGCCAAGCACAGATATTCCACGGTAATCTTGAGATTTTTTCGGCTACTCTTCTTGCTCTGGCTGTTCTTGAAATTCACTTAGGGCCAGATTCTTTTCCACCTAATATGTTCCTGAGTGGCTACAGTGGGATTCTAGTCCATCCTGCTCAGGGCCCTGAAGAATAGTTAACACAACAAGTGCATGGGTCCTCTACCTCCTCGTTGCTTCTGTATGACTCGTTCTTTAGGGGTCAGATGTTGGCACGTTACAAAAGTAGGTCCATTTGTGGATTTTCAGGCCTTGAACAGTGTGGAATAGAATCACACTTGGGCACCCAAGTCCACTTAGATGCTTAATAGGTGTAACAGGATCTGGTCCACAATGGCTGCCCTGCGGTGACTTCTTGGCGAGCCCTTGGCTTCAGTGATGTCTTGTGGGACACAAGCTAATGGTGTGTCCTGTGAAAACTGGACCAGGCAGCATTCTTTTTTCCTTCTCTCTGGATTTTTTCTTCCCACGGGGGATGAAAGTTTTATCCAGATCCCTGAATTGACTGGCTTTTGGTACACATGGAAAATATCCAAAAGTATTTTCTCCATCCTTGTTCTGGCACAAATCCCACTGATTTCAGTTCCAGTGCAGCTTGCATAAGAGCTGAAGGCCAGTTGTTGATCCTATAGAGCAGGGGTGACCAGTGTCCAAAAAAAACCCCATGCCTAAAAAAAGCAAGGTGGTGCTTGTGGCAGCAGTGTAAGCTGCCTGAAGCCAGAGTGTGGATGGCAAGAGCCATGCTCCAGGCTCTGCACACCAGATTGCCACCACTGGAGCCCCAGAAAGCCCCCTGAACCCAAGGTAAGGCTGCTGGGGCCAACCCTGGGGCTGGCCCTAGCCTCGCCTACCCCACCTGGGGCAACTTGCTGCATGCCAGAGTGCACATGCCCAAGTGCACCCCAGGGACAAGTATGTGCCACTGCTGTTTGTCCCCGGGGAAATGCGTGTGCATGGTTGTTTGAATGCACCCATGGTGTTTTGCTCTCATGTCCAATACCCAGAACCACTGACTACTAAAATAATCAATAACAGAGAAAAGTCCTGCTCAGCCCCTATATCCCCGAGATGCAGCATCCTTGCCGCAGGTGGAACCGCCATGGGATTTAGCTGCCAATCTCCAGCGCATCTCTCCTGAGCGGGTGTCAGGGTCGTGACACGGGAGACTTTTCACAAAAATGGTGAAACTCTTGTGCATAAGGATCTTTACACGAGAAGCATATCCCATTGCCCTGCAGAGCTTACAGTCAAACTCGGCAGGAAAGACACAACTCATAGGAACATAAGGCTGGTGGGGACCGCCTGGGTCATTCATTTCCATCTATGGCAATCCCAGATAACCATGCAATAGGCATTGAGTCCACAGTGAGACATAACAGAGAGAAAAGGAGAAGGTGGAAAATACAGTTGAAATCATCTTGTGAGGGAGTTCATGCTGTGCTGAAAAATGGGGTAAAATACTGCAGTTGACAAAGGCTGTAAGTCTATTCATCAAACACACGGAGAAACATTGTTATAAGGAAGAAAAATGGGCTCCCAGGCAAAATATTTCTATGTTGAGTTTCAGCCTGGAACAGATCTTTTATTTTTTTGCTGAGTTGCACATCCTTAGAAATAAGAGTTTATCCTAGAAATGCTGACTGCTCCGTAACGACGGCCCTAAAACAACAACAGGAGAAATTTGCCCATTCAGAGATACCTCCGCAGACCTGAGGAGGCTTCACTAGCTCCAGAGAAGTCTGAATATGAACGGGGCCAGCGTGTTTTTGTGAGAGACGGAGAGAAATCCACTTCTTACACCCCTTCCGTAGCTGCTTCCTGAGAGATTTGGTACAAAACACAGCACACTGACCAGCTACTCCCAAAGATCACAACTTTAGCATCATGTCTAGCCAGAGATCTGCCTCCAGAGAAGAGAAAAAAAAAAGTTTTATATCTTTATTTTTATTCCCCCCCCCACCCAACAAATTAACATCACAACAAACAACGGCTTCCCTAAAATGAGAATTTAAGGGCTACCTGGCATTTTATGTGTACTTTCTTCAAACAACAGCTCCCAGGTACACCACAGTCCTAATGCTTGGACAGACAACACTGAAAACTCACTAATGACTCCAGCAATGACATAAAATGCCTTTGATCAACCACCCTGCTATATAAAACAACATAGCATGCCATTGAATGGAAATCAGACACAACAGAGGAGCTATTATATGAGATACAGTACTCCAGCATTCATCTCTTCAAACAGAAAAAGTTCAAAGCAAATCAAAATCAGAAAATGAATAACAGAGTGGATTCCACCACTAGAAAAAAAAAAAAAAAGGAAGA